GCCCCCACGGCTGAAAGGGCGAGCATGTTTGGTGGTATGCGGATTCGAACCCGCGACCCTCAGATTGTGAGTCGAGCGCCTTATCCACCTGGCCATGCCAGGCCCGCAAGCTGCGGATACAAATTCCGTTACCAATCATGCCAGCTAGCCCTTTCGACCGTAGTGACGTTTATAATGAGACACTCAACCCACTTTTCGTTGGTAAAAGAGTAACCCAAGAATTTGTTGGTGGGTGGTGTTGACGAGGTGTTTCCCCCCTAGTCTATCATTTCAATTTTAAGGACGGTTAGCGCAGATAACCCCCGAGTAGCTTGGTATGAGATTTAAAAAAAAAACTATCTAACTAACGTGTTCTTGTATAGTGGTGAGGATGCCGAAAGCCTATGAAATTGACTGGAAGAGACGTAAGGTGATCATTATTACACGAATCAGGTAAAAAGCTCCAGTGAGCGTTCAATAAAGCTAATAATACAATGTTGTCAATTAACTAAAGTAGAGTGGTTTCATTTCAGACAAATACAACATACGATAGTTTTATATCAAATATATATAGTTAAACAGGTGGTGGTGGGTACTGTTTACCGGTTTCCATACGGAAATCTTGCCTTTCAGCTCACAATTAGGAACGGCTATGCGCAAGTAGTCCTATGTGTGTAGCTTTGCGAGAACATTCCGAAACAATAATAAAAGCTACAGGATCGAATACTTATAATTCTAAAAAGCACAATAGCACCGTACTATTTTTTTTAAAGTTTACCTTGTACGTCTACGAACTTAAAATGCTAAAGTCTGAGGTTCGAGTCCCCGCGGTGTACAGGGAGCACATAGCCCATTGTGTAGCTTTGCACTTACAAAAAACAACAACAATAAGTGTTATTTTAAAATATATATAAATACTCTTTGATTAACGTAATCGATATTTCTAGGCCTGAAATATCGTGTAAATGAGCAAACAGGAATACAGACTTACGAGTTTCTCTTTTTTTCTTTACGGACAATAGATGTAGAAACTAGATGTTTATAATGTCGGTAATTAGTCTTTATATATAAACACATCATAAGTAGGACATGCGAAGTTAAATGAGCAAGGAACATCTGACAGCTGAATCGAGTGATTTAATCGTGACTCATGGAACCACACCCTAATAGCGTATGATAAATCTTTAATGGGGTTTTTTAAAAGTAGGTAATAGGCGCGGCCATTGGTAGAATTTTAATGTAGATTGTAAAAAAGGATATATATATAATCTTTAACATTTATCCTAAAACTGACGTTCAGTTTAAGGGTGATATAATAATATTACGTTTCAACAATTCTATCAGTTACCCACCAAACGTCACTAAAGTTAGGCTTAGCTAATATAGTTTACTGGGGGTATATGACGAAGAGAATTTATCAAAGCACTCATTAGAACATTAATATATATTATTAAACAAAATAAATGGAAGAGACTAATAAAATTTACTGTAACGTTATTTCTGTTCACTGTAACGTTATTCTAGCTTTAATGTGAAAACCTAGTAGCCCACCAGACGTTACTAGAATTAGGCTTAGCTAATGTAGCTTACTAAAGGTGACTGAAAAAGGTAGTTTATTAAAACAATCATTAATATTTATTATTAAACAAATGAATGGAAGAAACTAATAACATTTACTTCGTTCATTGTGAAGTTATTCTAGCTTTATTGTGAAAACTTAGTAACCCACCAGACGTAACTAGAATTAGGCTTAGCTCGTGTAGTTTACTGGAGGTGGATGGAGAAGACAATTTATTAAAGCACTCATTTGAACATTTATATCTATTATTATATAAAAAAGGGAAGAAACTATTTCGTTTGAAACAACAAACACTTGCTGTAATCACAAAAGTTATACAATGGGCTATCTGTGCTGTGCCCTCCGCCAGTATCAAAACCTGGTTTCTAGCGTTATAAGCCGTCAAACTTACTGCTGAGCCACTAGAGGGTAGAGGCTTTTTAGTAGGATAAGTTATATGTATAGATAGAAGAACGTGTTTTAAGATAAAGCTTATTTCTTCATAAATATTTAGCAATAAACAACCGATTCGAGTAATACCTACCGTAATGTGATTTTTTATATTCACGATGTCTTGAAATATCCATTTAAATAAGAATATGAAAATTAATTTAAAATAGTATGTTTGTTTTAGCACAAAGCTACACAATGAACTATGTTACTTCGTCTATCCTGGTTATCAAGCACCAAATTAATGCGTTATATGTCGTGAAGTTTACTGTTGAGCCGTCAGGGGGACGAAATTAATATGACATAGCATCACTAGTAAGTATGGCTACTGGCATATGTTCGTTTCTTTAAGCACATATTAATGACTTCAAGTTTTCGTTGTTTGAATGTTTTTGCAGCGTTACCAGTTTTTGGTTCGAGCTCGGGGTTGAGTTTGCAATTAAATATTCTTTTTTATTTGTATCAGAAGTTCTTGAAAAGCTACGCAAGAATTATCTGCATATAGCCATCCCTAATTTCGAAATGATAGACTGTAGAGAAGGCAGTTAATCAACAGCACCCACCGCTAACTATCGTCTGACCGAATATAGGAGCTGACTGTCACTCTTATAGTGCACCCAAGGTCTCAAAGTGCGGAGTGCGTTTTCATGTAACGATGCAAAATATTCGTATACTCAGGTCATAAAGATATGTACAGATCGAAAATTAGAATTTCCAAGATGGGTATATCCTTTGTACTTAATAACAAAGCAACAAAATATTATGGATCAACTTGGGGCCCGAGTTCATTCAGAAAGAGACCTACGATAAGTCGAATACCATCCGTGGTAATCTTAAGTGCAGCTTCTGGTAACAGATAAAAATATGTGTGGTATCCAAAAATACGACGTACTCAACCCCTTTTAAATATATATATATATACACACACACACACACACATACAAGTCCTTCAAAATATACACACACGAGAAAATTGTTTGAGTCATAAGAAGTATTTTAACAGCCATTATACCCCTGTGAGAAAATTGTTTGAGTCATAAGAAGTATTTTATAATAAATATTAATGATTGTTTTAATAAACTATATTTTTCATTCACCTTTAGTAAGCTACATCAGGTAAGTCTAACTCTAGTGACGTCTGGTGGGCTATTAGGCTTTTACATTAAAGCTAGAATAACTTTACAGTGAACGAAGTAAATTTTATTAGTTTCTTTTTTGTTTAATAATAAATGTAAATGATTGCTCTAATAAACTATCTTCTTTATTCACCTTTAGTAAGCTACATTAGCTAAGCCTAACTCTAATTACTACTGGGTTTTCAAATTAACGCTAGATGAACTTTATGGTGAACAAAGTTATGTTGTCATTCAAATATATTTTATCATATCTAATGTTGTGGCTCCTCTCCTGCTTAATATAGTGAATACACAAAACGACTTCTTTCTCGAGATAAAAATTATATTAAGGCTCAATGTTTGCTTCTGGCAGAACCACATATTAAAGTTCGTATATAACCTGTCCTCCTGGGCCTTACGTAACCTGTCCTCCTGGGCCTTACGTAACCTGTCCTCCTGGGCCTTACGTAACCTGTCTTCCTGGGCCTTACGTAACCTCTCTTCCTGGGCCTGGTAATGTCGTGGTGGTTAAGGACGCTCGCCTCGCTAAAATCCAGGGTTCATTTCCCCACAGTGGACAGAGCTATAGTGTAACTCTGCGCTAAAAAACAACTACAGTCTCAAATCGAACACACATGACAGTGTAAGACTACATAATATTTCCTTTCAAGCTATCGTTTTAAAGTTTGGAGGGAAAACAAATCTGAAGTATTAATACGAAGGTAAAAAGCACTCGCTGTTTGTACTTGTATACCATTCTCCTGCTGTTTGTATGGTTTAATCTAAAATTGCTTAGAAGTTCGACTATTCGCTGATATTTCTCCTGTTCTTTTGGGAAATCTCAAGAACCTTCGAGTATGATCAGACCTGATGAAGAAGTATTAATGGGTTCAGTTGGTGCCAGGAATCCTAAACCCGAGTCCATAATTAACACCCCAGACACTGAGTTTCAGGAAGTGCAAGCCGATGACAATCAGAGCTGTCAATTCTGTCCCAAGTTCCACTCTGTTTCCATGCCATCACTTTCAAATTGTGGCCACTTCACCAGACCTTTACGAAGGCCAAGTGCGGTTTCTCGACAAGAGATGGCGCCAAGGTAAAAGCTTTCCGTATTTTTATAATCTGTGCGTGTAAAAACATTATATAGCTGCACAATACCAGATATAATAAATAGTGTATAGGTTTTTCTCATAGTGATTATAAAGCACGTTCACACCAACAATATGTTTGATACTTTTCACTGTGTTATAGGTCCAGCTCATCTTTGGTTAACTTGTGTTCAGGAATACTGATGAGGAGTAGAATTCTCCGAAATAGTATACACCAATAATACACATTGATCAAAGTGTAGATTGAACTGGACATCCCTTGAACTTAGACTTCAAGAGTAAACTATTTTTGGAATACTAAGTTTATTTATTATAGTGTCTTTGTGTTGTTTTTGTTAGGCGAAAGGCTACACAACGGGCTATTTGCACTGTGTCTACCACGGTTATCTAAACCCAATTTTTAGTATCATTAGTCCAGAGACTTACAACTGAGCCACCAGGGGACATTTTTATAGTACACCATTTAATAGGCAAAGACAAATTTTAAAATAATATTTTTATATATGTCATAATTTTCTCTTATTTTTGCTTCCCAAATTTCACGGAAACTTTTTTAAATAACAACAAAAATATATCTAGATGTTATCGTTGTATAATTCTATAACAAGTTATTACCAAAATAAACCAGAAACATTGGTATGTATAAAAACACACGGTAGTTTATAAATTGAAACTAAAGATTTGGAAATAAGATATTTGCACATTGTAGTAAAATGAAGCTTAAGTGTTCGTAAATTTATACAGGTGCAAATATTCATGAAATATCTTAAGGGACAGGGAGGGACTACTTCAAAATTATTTATAGAATTTCAGTGCCAATATCCCATCCAAAGATTAAGAAAATAACCGGTAGGTTTCAGTAAAACAACAGTAGATAAAAACTGCCCCCCCCCCCAGTGGCACAGCGGTATGTCTGCGGAATTACAACGCTAGAATCTGGGTTTCGATACCCGTGGTGGGCAGAGCACAGATAGCCCATTGTGTAGCTTTGTGCTTAATTACAAATAAACAATAAACAGATAAAAACTTCCATAGAACTTTAGATTAAAATTTCAAATTTAATGTTAAGAGTGTCCACTAGAGGCCGTTGTTCTACCCTGGATATTATACATTGTTTGTGTAGAGGGTAGTGGCTTTTTTAAATGTATCGTTGTTACTTAGCTATCGTCTTAGTTTTGCAGGATATCCGTCCCACGGAAGTCATGATTATTTTAATACATATTTTATGCTTTTTAATTTTATAATAATTAATTGTGACTCTTTACAGATTGATATACTTCGGGTAAGTCTTATAATGCTGTATGATTTAATTTTGAAATAAACACGTTTACAATCTTTACAAATACGTATGTATGTGTAACCCTCTTTATTTCCAAAACTAAATAAATAAACAGAACGTTTCAATAAAAGTAGGTGGCGCTTTCACAGTGTAACATCTGTTCCTCAGCCGTCCTATAAACACTTGAAGATTTCTTTGAGTTCATGATGTGTAGAGGTATGGGGTTTTAACCAGTGATAATTTCAACAACTTAACGAGTGTTTAGATAGAACGGCAAGCAGAATATTTAAATATAAACATCCTTTTATTACGTAACGTTTACATTTCACTCTTGCTTACTGAATACCTATCCTAACGACAGATAATGAAGCGTAAGCTATCTGACTTTCAATGTCTATTCTAAGAATCCATGCGTGAAAGCAAATGAAAATGTATTATATTATGTCAACCCAACTACATCTGTCATATTCAGTGCCGACGAGGCCTTTCGTTCAATACCAGGCTTCATAAGACTGGCTGGGATGCGACAGATAATAGTAGTGGTCTAGGCCCTATATACATAATTAATTTTCTTGAACAACGGCAGTTATTGTTTGTTTCTATGTGTTGTAAAATTTTAGTTAGGTAAATCATTCAACCACTTATAACTATCATTTGTAATAAAAATATAAAAAAGATTATTAATACTGATTAGATCTTTGTTCATTTATTAACCACAAACAGCCAAGTCCCTCGACTAAACAAGACGAGCCCTTGTCACTACGAGTCCAGCGTGTAGTAACTTACTCAAGAACTATAACTATAGACGAAACGACAAGAGCGCCCTCCCGTGGCATCTCAGAGAGTTACGTACTGAAATGACCTAATGAGTTACAAAGAAGAAAAATGAAGAACAATCTAGACGTTGTGCCTTTGAAAAGCCAGTCTTTCTTTCCCTAACGACCATAAAATGTATATTATCAAACATAAATGTTATGTTTATATATATAGATAGATATATGTATGTAAATGGATATAAACAATGGATCTTATTTTGTAATATCAATGTTCAACTTCTTGCCTTAAATATCTTTGTTGTTATATTGTTTATAAAATAAAAAATAGTTCCCTACTGCTCTAATTTTTATTCTTATCTCTCTTCTTTAATACAAATACCACAGTCATCCCGGAAGAGGAAGTTATAAGCCTTCAATCTTACTAAAATACCAGTTTAACTACAGACGCTTGTAACCATCTTCTTTGTATACTTGTGTTCTAAGGTTTTTAGTTAAATTGTTTTTTACCAGTGAAACAATTGCGAATTGAACTGATCATTAAAAATAAGCTGGAATGGTGTATAAGTCCTGAAAAGCGTTTTAACAACCATCATTGCCCCTGTGAGAAAATTGTTTGAGTCATGAGAAGTATTTTAACAGCCATCATACCCCTGTGAGAAAATTGTTTGAGTCATGAGAAGTATTTTAACAGCCATTATACCCCTGTGAGAAAATTGTTTGAGTCATGAGAAGTATTTTAACAGCCATCATGCCCCTGTGAGAAAATTGTCTGAGTCATGAGAAGTATTTTAACAGCCATTACACCCCTGTGATAAAAAATTTTGAATCATGAGAAGTATTTTAACAGCCATTATACCCCTGTGAGAAAATTGTTTGAGTCATAAGAAGTATTTTAACAGCCATTATACCCCTGTGAGAAAATTGTTTGAGTCATAAGAAGTATTTTAACAGCCATTATACCCCTGTGATTGAAATTCTTAAACTTACAGCTAATCCATTGGGAGTCCTCTCTGAGGTTATCATTCTCACAGTATTTTAGTTATCACTATATAGTTTGTATATATCTAAACTTCTTTTCAATATGTATATATTGCTAGGAATTTGACAGAAGAGTTTTTCATCAGACTTTATTATAAACTAAAAATATCAATGTTTTTTTTGTCTAAGATTGGCTCTTGTGGTTGTCTTAGAATTTAAATAGAAGAGCATTTTAAAGATGATTCTGGTAAGTGTTGTCATAGATTGGCTCTTGTGGTTGTCTTAGAATATAAATAAAAGAGTAATATAAGGACGATTCTGCTAAGTATTGTCTAAGATTGGCTCTTGTGGTTGTCTTAGAATTTAAATAGAAGAGCATTTTAAAGATGATTCTGGTAAGTGTTATCGTATATTGGCTCTTGTGGTTGTCTTAGAATATAAATTGTTGTTGTTGTTGTTGTTTTAGCGCAAAGCTACACAATGGGTATCTGAACTCTGTCCACCGCGGAGACTCGAACTCCGGATTTTAGCGACTTAAATACGTGTACTTTCGCTGACCCTCCTGTTACGAATATAATTGACAATATAATATTAATAGGCTTAGTTCAAAATTGTTGAAAAATAACTGAAGTATAGAGGAAAATGTTTATTTTTAAATTGTTTGTTAAATTAATCATTATTTATAGTATATTGAGTTGAATTTGGTGTTTCAAGTCGTTAGTGCTGCTTCAACATATTCCCGTGTTTTGAACTAGCACACGAAACAGTGAGTTTTATTTACATTTCATGTAAATTAGATAATATTTAAAGTACACGTACTTAAGATGCGTTTTGGAACTTGTGAAAATGTGAAAAATATCTATAGTATCATTTTTGTCAGTATATCCCACTTCTATATTTTGTATTCAGCGTGTTAAATATATGATTACTAAAAACGCAGAATTAAAACAATATACAGGTTTTTTTATATCCGTGGCTTACTCTTGTAGTTTTCTATAGGTGAACCCAGGCTTGGTTCACGAAGTTGTGTTACTACCAGACAGATGACCACCACTGTCGTCAAGGAAGTCATTAAAAGAAAAAAGGAAATGCAAAATTACCAAGAAATTATAGATGATGGAATTCTGAAAAGAACTACATGTGTTACCAAACAGTCGGAAAGTTCTCCGATTGTTGACAGAAAAACTACAACAGAAACTCTGTTTGAGCATTGCGTAGAGAAACCAGATGATGTAATATGTTCAAGTTCCATGAGATCACAACCAGAAATGACCAAACAAACCACGAAGACGTCAAAAGACAGGAAAGAAAATACTTTGATTAGAACACTGAAGAAATTCGTGCGGAATATTAGTATAACAGGAGAAAAGGAAGGGCTTGTAGAAGAGCATTTTAAGGATGATTCTGGTAAGTGTTGTCTAAGATTGACTCTTTTGGTTGTCTTAGAGTATAAATAGAAGAGCATTTTAAAGATGATTCTGGTAAGTGTTTTCTTATGCACAAGATCAGAAGCCTTTATCTTCGTTTTCATCAGTTAGAGGTGGTGTGAAACATGATCCAAAGTCGCCATTACCAACTTCATCTTTCACAGGTAGTTCTTATAAACAAGAAAAGAAATTTTTATCCTCGTTTTCATCAGTTAGAGGTGGTGTGAAACATGATCCAAAGTCGCCATTACCAGCTCCATCTTTCACAGGTAGTTCTTATAAACAAGATCAGAAGCCTTTATCTTCGTTTTCATCAGTTGAAGATGAAGTGAAACATGATCCAAACCCAACCTTAACAACTTCGTTTCCCGATGACGGAACTTATTTAAATGGACAAGATCAAAAGTCGTTATTATTAGCGTCTAATTCTTTTAAGGAAGATAAATTGATGAAACTAGACCAGAAATCATCATACGAAAGACAAGCTTTCTTGGAAAGGAACATTAATTTCGAGGACAGATTTTCTTGTAACTCTAAAAATAAAACGTCGTCAATTTTGAGTCAGTCAACCACAGTATTTAATGATGAACGTCATAGTGACATACCACAAAAAAATAATCTCGACAATTTGGAATTTTCTTCTATCCCAAGTAAGAATGAATCAGAACTTAAGTCATGGAAGATTCTGGACAGGAAAGATTATCTTATTACCCAATCCCTTGATGATATTTTACAAAATTCGTCCAAGAGTATAACACGGTCTAAATTCGTTACTACCTCCCGAGATCGATTGGATCGTAACCAAGTTAATTCTACTGATCTTCAAGAAAGTCTAACAACAGGTGAGGCCTATGAAAAAAGAAGACATATCGGTAGTTTTATCTTTCAGCAAATCGTTCTGTCCACGATGACTGTCCATCAGAGACACAGATTGGGACGTTGTGCACTACAGAAATGAACGTTTCATCTTCAGATGTTCTGAATAAACAAACTGGAGAAATGGTTTATGGTGATCCAGATAACAGCGCCAGAATGTCTCGCAATACAGACTTTGATGACACATTAAAATTTTACTTTATAACAAAATCATCTCCGGTTGTTTCTTGTTCCAAAACCAGCTTGCCTGCAAGAATAAATAAAAACAAACCTGGAATAAAAACAGACATCTTACGATCACCCAGTCATCAGTTGTACACTTTTGAAGAAAAGGAGACCAAATTTGGAACAAGGGAATCGTCGTGTCAGTTCTCTAAACCATTTCAAGGAGTATCAAAACTGACCTCTAGCACCATTCGTCAAATGTCGCCTTCCACACCCACAGGAAAGTTATCACTTCAATTTGTCTCTTCAAATCTTCGGTCAAAAACACTTCCCATTTTTGCCTTACAGCAATTAACAGTCAGTTCATCACAGGCTTTGTCAACAAAATTTTCCCATGTCATTGATCAGGCGTCAACATTGACCCCCACACCTATTGCACACTCATCACAGGTAACCGTATGCCCACCAGGAAAACCATCTGATACTGATACGTCCGTGAAAGAACTATCAGAAGTGACATCTACTCTTGTCCAGCATGATTCACTATTGGATTCTACTTCTTTAAAGACCTCATCACACATTTCTTCTACTGTCGGAGGTAAAATATGCTATGCAGTTTTGAAGCACAAAGGGCAAATCTCACGAGGAACTCCAAGTTTCATTGTACAAACGCCATCATGTTCATCCTACACTAACACTGGAAAAAGAACACACTCAAATATTCAGGCACGTAATCAACTATCAGAAGTGATGCCTATTCAAAGATCGCGTGATCCTAACTCTTCTAATAATCGTAACAGTGTTCCTAGGAACATTTTCTCTGCATCTGTTGACTCTGGACTGAATAAAGATTTTCATGTCTGTAGCGAAGACCAAGAATACTGTACAACTATAGGTTCTTCCTTACATCCCAATTACCGCTCAACGCCAACTTTAGTCTTGTCACACGGGGAATCATGTATGGAATATTCTTCAAACTGGGAAAACTCTGGGGAGTTACACTTGCCACAGCTTGGTGGAAAGACTTTTGGTGAAGTAATATTAACTCTTTACATGCGAGATTATTGTGAAAGATTATCTCGCTCTGCACCAAGTTTAATGATATCGTGCTCGTGCTTTAAGCCATTATCACCTTGCCCTTGGAATACACCTCCAATTGCTCTACACTTTGGAAATCGTCAGTTTTGGAATTTTCGTCCTTCGTCCAGCTCTTTAAGAGCCAGTAACCTACCATATTCTCACATTTCGCTTGCTGAAACTGACTTTTCAGATTTGGATTATGCTGATTCCACTACTTTAAAATCCAGTGACCTACCAGTTACTCAATATCCACTTACTGAGGTTGAGTCTTCACACTCAAATGATGCTGATGTCACTGCATCCACTTCATTAAGGTCCAGTCACCTAGCAACTTCTCAAAATCCACTCGCTGAAACTGAATTTTCCGATTTGGGTAGTAATAATAATGCGTTTAACAAAATAAGAACAACCTTTGAAACAGAATCCAAGACATCTGAGATCAGTGATTTCGTAGCAATAAATGATACCAAGATTAAGAGAACTCAAAAAGAAAAGAATGCTGAGAAATTTCGAGCTACTCTTACGTCTAGCATTCAAGGAATTGTTGGCAGTCTTGGAAGTTCTGTTGATCTTAGGAAAGAGTTTTCGAAATCAACCATGAATGTGACTTTGGCGGCGAATGATGAGGCGACTTTATCATCTTCAACACCTAACATTGATAAAAAGAATGATGATGACCCCATCCTTACTTTGTACATACGAGGTCTGCCATCCACAATGTGCCACACCACGAACAGTTTGGGATCATATGAACAAAACAAGTTTGGTTTGAGAAGACGGAACTTGGTTTCAGATTATACACAGTGGAAATACATTCACTCAATGAAAGGTATTTATAAGCCACTCATGTCCACCTCGTCTTCCTGGGAGGCAGGAGACTTGTTAGAACAAGAGCCAAAAGAATTATGTTTAGGCTCATCTTCCTGGAGTATACGTGATCAAAAGTCATCATTACCAACTCTATCTTTGAAAGATAGTCCTTATACTCAAAGACCATCATCTTTACCCTCGTTTTCATCAGTTATAGGTGGTGTGAAACATGACCCAAAGTCGCCATTACCAACTTCATCTTTCACAGGTAGGGATCATTATGACTCTCCCTCGTTGGCGTTGGAAATTCTAAAAATAAAGGAAAAATAAACAAAGTTATCAGTGTGTTTTGTAGTAAACAACAGAAAACACATTTCTCAGTATGATGACTCAGTACAAAATATACTTTTCATTGTCTAACAATAAATGATAAATCTGACACACTATAATTTGCTATCATATATTTGAAAACAATACGCGTTGAAACAGTTTTTCAAGTCATTTCATGTGACATAACACAAATGATTTATGTTAAGACACTTCCAACATGACCAACTGAGAAATAAAAAAAAGATTTATAATATTCTTTCGCGTCAATGACAAAAAAAAATACTTCATTAAAAGCTCTTTAAAGATAATGAGTTATCGGATGTCAATGGAGGCTACTTAATAACTTTTAATTAACGGACATCTATAAAGGTTACTTAACGACCTGGAATTAACGAATGTAACTGAAGGCTAATGTACAATGGCGAATAAATAGATGTCACTGAAGGTTTGAAAGCGATAAATTCAGCGGTAAAGCCTGAGAGTTTCTAATGAGAAAATTCGGGCTTCGATCCCTTGAGTGAGCACAGCACAAATGGTCCACGTGCAGAGTTTTGTTTTAAAACAAACAGAGCCACAGTGCCATGTTTTTTTAATTTTTTATATATCACACATACCTAGAACCACATCATTTTCTACCAGTAAATTTATCAGAAACAAGTTTCCCCACACCATCTCGAGCCCGGCATAGCCAGGTGGATAAGGCGCTCGACTCACAATCT